GGGGAGTCCACCCAAGAGGAGTCAGACCCAGTGACAGGCATGGATAATGACAAAGACTGCAACAAGAAAGACAGTTTGATTCCACAAGAATTCCTTTAGTGGACTGCACACGACTTTCTAATATCTATTCCTACACCTGTAAAATGCAAAGCTAATCGATCTCATCATGTCCCCTGCTTCAAATCCTCCTCAGGTTCGCTCTGCCTTCCAGAAGAAAGTTCATTCCTGACCCCACCCTTATTCTTCTAGAATATTCTCTGATGTTCTCCCACCCATCCCCCCCTTCATTCTTCAGCCTCCCTGTGGCTCCTGACTTGTTACTGCCACCTACTCTTGTGCTCCCGACACACCTCCCCCAGCACACATCTGCATCACCCCTCTATAGAGGCCCCACATCTCTGCTTTCAGAGCCCACAACACTCATCACAAGGGGCCCGACTGGGCACAGCTCCAGCACTGGGCTGGAGTCCCCTCCATCTGAATGGGCTCGGCTGAGAGGAAATGACGGGGGAATGTCTCAGCAGTGCAGTGTGCACAAATGCTCAAAAGCAACACACCGCAAGAGGAAGAGTCTTGGCCTAGAAGGAATCGGGAACTCCATGAGCTCAGACAGCTCACTTGGTGCCTTTATTCCTCACTTTCCTCTTCTGCGCAATGATACTTGCCTGGCCCTGGTTCCACTGAAATGGTTTAAGGATTGTCTTGGTACAAATTTAAGCACAGGGGTTGCTTTCTCAAAACATTCATTCAGGATGAACCCAGCTACAAGAATGAACTAAAGAACTCCCAGGCTTTTATTCACAGATGTCCATTTGCTTGTTCCATAATGTACACAGGGAGCTCATGCTACAATTGGCCGGGCAAGCCCTTTCTTCTCCCAGCGCTCACAGAGAGCCATCTGTCCAGTCCCAGGTGGAGCTGTCTCACACCCATCTTCCTGGCACAGAATCAATGAGGCTTCCCCAGCCTCTCCTCCTCCTGGGGTTTCCATGGGAATCCTCCCACGTGTGGCGGATCCAGGGGCCCCCAAGGCAGAAGCTCAGCTGTCAGCCAGCGAAGAAGAGAGCAGGGGAGGGAATGGAGTTTGCTGGGCGGTAACCAGGCCAGCAAGCTCTGCAAGGTCATTTGAAAGGGGAACAGCTCGGAGTTAGTGAGGCCATGTGCAGCCCTGGGGAGCCTGGCCACTGTGCACCTGCCCCTGTGCCCAGAGGGCTGCCCCGGGCACATGTGAGTTGGTCGGCAGGACAGCTGGCCTCCATATGACCTAGTATAGCTCAGTCTGGGGCAAAGCATGACAAGAAGGGTTGAAGGAGGGGCTGCCCGATGGGACTCTCTAGGGGAATCCTCTGTTATGGCAACACAATAATCTTCCTGTCCAACCTCATCTATCTCCCAAGATGAACCTTGCCCATTGGCATAATTGATTGTCTGAAAATCAGGATGTCTGAAAGAAAGTTAAAACTCTTCAAGCCTCAGGGTTAATCTAGGGGACACATGATAGGGACCTGCTGGGATTTCTTGCTGATTCCCACCCCCATTGTCCCTTCACTGAATGTGTCTCCTGGCTGTTGAATCCCACAAACATCTCCTGTACCACATGCTGCTTTCTGCTGGCGGGCCCAGTGCCCAGCCAGTCTCTGTCTGCATCTGAGGCCAGTGCACCACCCTGTGCCAGCTACCTGGGCTGCACTAAAGACAGCCCTTCTGACTGTGGAAGGAATACTCACCCTGCACCTCCTGAGTATACTTTTTACATGGGTATTCAGTTGTGAAAGCAATGTGTGAAGGACAAACCACATGCAGCAAACATTGCCCTGCAAGTCTCCTGAAGGTCTACAAAGTTCAAGACAGCTGACTGGGCATGGACCTTTCTCTTCCCCCAAGTGTGAGGCAGATAGTTTTTTTTCCTGAGGCCTCAGAACAGATAGATTTTTATTTCTGAGCAGCAGGAGGAAAGCCACTTAGCTTATGTAGGGACCATGCTTTATTTAAAATGTGTTGCTGAATTTTAAATGTTTTATGATTGATCTTTTTTTAAAAACCAAATAGACAGAGTCACGTTCACATAAATGAAGTACACATAATATGCACACCTTTAAAAATAGGCTAATAAATAAAATAAAAATAGGCTACCAAGAGACTTCTGATGATCCCGACCTCAGCCCCAGCAGCCTTTTGATTTTCTACTTGGAGTAGTCTGTTTGAGCTGGAAAACTGCTTGATACCTTCTGTTCCTGTACCAGCAGGGAGGGAGAAACCTTCTAGAGCTTGGATGTACGACAACTGGCCAGGCAGCTTAGAAAAACTTAAGTCACTGTAGCATGACAAGTTGTGTTGGGTCCTTTCCCCAAAATATAAGGATTCTACCCTAGCCTGGAGCTTGGTGCTTCTGGGACAGGAATAGAGCCCCCCAAATATAGGATCACTTGAGTGATGAAAATGTTCCAGTCCTATGAGAAACTGAGGAGAGAAGTACTAGATGCAGGGCGACCATTGGGTGGATACTCCCAGCGTGCTGGAGCAAAACCAAGAAGGCCAGAGAGTTGGAGGTGGTGAGAGAGGTAAATGGTAAGAAGGGGTAAAGGGGCAGGGAGAAGGCCTGGGGCTCTGGTTCATCTGGATTTCATTCCTGGCAGCACTGAGGAGGTTCTAAACTAGGGGAAATTTTGTTCTATTTACATTTTTAAAAGATGTTAATCTGGTATGTGCAAAACTGAATCTTATAGCTTCAGCCTACAGTTCTCTTATTTACTGAAATAGGGGATCCTGTTGTAGGTTTTAAAAAGTGTTGTTCCTGTCTCTTTCTAACCTTCTCTTTCTGTACTGATGTTTGAACCCAGGAGCTTCTCACTGAGCTATATACCCAATCTTATAAAAGATATTTTTAAAAATTTATTTAAAAAATTATAAATCAGGTTCTCATTGAGTCACTGAATTTTTCAGTCCAGATTCAAACTTGCAATCCTCCTGCCTCAGCCTCTCAGAGTGCTGGGATTCCAGAAATGCCATTCCTGGCTTCTATTTCATTTTTTGTTGTTGTTTATAAATTGTTTTTAGTTTTTTTTGGTTTAGTCTTTTGATGATTGACTTGATGAATCATAGAGAGATGAGTCCATTGTTAGAGGGGTGGCATGTGTCCGTTGACTATTCGTGCTGGTTTCTTTTCCTTATAGATTTTATTTTAGACACATAATTCACCAGTCTTTAAGGTAAGAGAGATGTAAAGTGGAGCAATATTTGAGTAGAATGGCTGGTAAATTAGACTTTCCCATTTGCCAAAGATAGCTTTATGTATTTTTATTGCCATTTAGTAAGGAACTTTAATAAATGGAATCAGTGATGTCACTCTCCTATAATCTCAGCACTGGGAGGTTGAGGCAGGAAGATGACAAGTTTCAGCACAGCCTGGGCAACTTAGTGACTTTGTGAGATACTATCTCAAAATGAAAAAGGGCTGATGATATAGCTCAGCGGGACTCTGGGTTCAGTCCCCTGAATCACATTCATGTACACACACACGCCCCCCACACACACAGCCCCACACCAAAGTATGTTCATCTCATGCGTTTGACATTTTGCTTTTCTCCAAACTACATTTATCTGCAACCAAAAAACAAAAACAAAACAAAACAAAACAAACTTTGAGCAGGATTTAGGAAATATCACCATCAGCCTCAGGATTGAGTTGTAGAGGGAACAGACTGAGCGAGGTTAGTAGGTCTACTGACCTCTGCAAACAGGGCCAGTGCTGGCAGATTCTGAGACCTCATTTTAATAACTATCTCGGAGCCATTTCTCCTCTTTAGGCTAATCAAACTGAGGGGGACAGAAGGTGAGTGGGAAGATGGGGGCTCAGATTTCTAAGAGGAGAGGACTTGGAGGACTATCTTCAAGTCCCCGAAGTCCGATAGGAGGATGGGGCTCCGAAGAGCCTGGAGAGGTCAGAGAACTTGCCCAGGGTCACCCCGCGGTCTGATGGTGGAAGTAGAAATCAACCCCAGTCAGACCTCTTTGAGCCAGCGACGCCAGTGCCCTCTTCTTCCCTCGGCTCTGCAGCAGCCCGCGCCTTGGCTAGGGGGCGGCAGGCGCAGCCACTCCTCCGGCTCCTCCAGCCACTCAGAGGTCCGAGGATCGGCGTCCCCTGCTGGCTCGCAGCCTACGGTGCGACCCGTGAGGCGCGGTTTGCTCAATGGAAGGTCTGACCTCCTTCCCAGTTCCCAGGACTCCCGAAGCCCCCACCTTGTCTCTTTCTGAGCATCACCGAGTTCGTCTAGAGCAAGGCCAGGAAGTGGCTTTGAGCAGCGCTCGGCTGGGCGATCAGCCTCACGCCCCAGCGCCGGGGATAAATGGGACAGCAGCGGCCGCTTTTTCAGCGTGCCAGGCGCTTGACTTCTGCTGCGAACCCCGGGATGCAGACCTCCCCGGGAATCACTGTCCCCATTTCACAGCCGGGGAGGGGGGGATGCTGCTGCAGCTCAGGAAAGTTGAGTGGGATGCCTGGGCTCACGGAGCTAATAATAACGCTAGTTAACTACAATTGGTTGCTTCCTGTGGGTCAGACACAGCTCTGCCTACCATCACACAGATGCCCCAATCAGTACCATGTAAAATCGGCACAATCCTCATCCCCATCTCATGGATGAGGAAACCGAGGTCTGGCGCCTTGCCCAAGGTCACCGGGCCAGTGACTGATAGATACTGGATACAAACCCGGGCGAGGGACTCTGGAGGCAATATTTTGCTCTGTCTCCATGACACTGATTAGCAGTGGGCTTTGAACTCGTGGTCCCAGAGGCCGATCCCAAAACCCCAAGGCTGCGCAAACCACAGCTTGGACTGCCATAATCTGGAGAGAGAAATTCCCTGGGATTGCGACCAGAAAGACGCCAAAAACGTTGATTGTGACAAATGTCCACCCGCACTAAGTCTGCGCAGCCGGATCTCAGGGATCTCAACCCCGACCCCCATGCGCCCCTTAACAGGCGCTGGAGAATACTCACCATAAAAGAGAGGGCGAGCGCCACCCGGGAGGAATCCCCAGCACTGGCAGGTCCCGGGCTCCCAGGAAAGACGCCCGCTGCCTTCGCTGCCCACTCCGGGGCGCCCGAGCAACCCTGCAGATGCTGACTTCCTCCGGAGAGCCAGCGGCGCGTTCTCACTGCTGGTGCCCGGCAGCGGCGCCCGCTCTGCCCAGCAGCGTGGCCGGGAGTTGGGAGCGTTCTTGGCGAAGTTGGCGCTCAGGAGCAAACGACAGAGGAAGCCTGGAGCCGGGTGCAGAGTGATGAAAGCGCCTCACTGCGCCGATCCTAGGGGCGCGCCGAGGCCCGCGCTCTAGGCGCTCCGAAGCTTGGCGCCTGACCTGGAGGGCAGCGAATCCCGCGCTCAGAGCGCACGGGCCAAACCTCGACCGCTGGCCCTAGGCGTGCCCAGCGTCTTCCCCAGAGCACAGGGCACACACGGTGGTGCCTGCATCTGGGGCCCGGGCCCGGGCTGCAGTACGCTCATCGCCTTCCCAGGGTCTGGGCGCCTTTGTGCGCGGGGCGCGCCGTCCGCCACGGCCAGCTCTGGATGCTGCAGCCGCCGCCGCCTCCTCCCCCTCCTCCGCCGCCGCCCGCTCCCCGCCTTCCCGGCCGGCCGGAGGCTGCAGCTGAAAGCCGATCCGGCTGAGCTCATCCCTGAAGGCCACTAATCCAATAGCCGAGGAAGGCGCGGCCGCCAGGAACGCCCCTTCCCCCACCATCCCGCGCCCCGGCTGTCCCAGCTAGGGCAGTTGCCGGCGCCGCAGCCTTCCCGTGGCCACCAGCTGGCGGGAGAGGGAAGTGGAACCCTCGCCCGCGCCCCTGAGCCGAAGCGGCTCGGTAGCCATTCACTCACCCGCGCGCTCCCTCTCGCACTCATTCATGAGCTCGGATCCCACCCCATTCATTCAAGAGCTACTGGAACGCCAGAGGGGGTGCCCCTGAGGAGGAGGAGACCGGCGCAGTCACTGGATAGCTGGTTCCTGTACTTAATGAACGTGTGAAGCAGCAGCCGGGAAAAGCAAATGGTTTGCTGAGGTCTTCGCCTTAGACACACATTTTAACACTTTATTTTTGAGACCAGGCTCCAACTCATCTTTTAAAATCCAATTTCGTTCCGCACCTGCTTCCCTGCGCCGTTCCCGCCCACCCGAGGTTGAGGAAGCTGCATCTCAGTTCTCCGGGCTCTGGCGCTGGCTCGGAGGCTTCACTGCTCCACAGGAGCACAAAGATAAGCAAGAGGGAGTGGCCAGAGCGAGAGATCCCGGCGCTTCTGAGGTTCTTGCTTCCTTGGGGAAACTGAAAATTCTTGACTTGGTTGCTCTGCTTGTGATCCCAGAGTTGACATCAGTCCACTCCAAATCATTTGCTGACACCAGCCCACCCTGTGCCAGCCACGGGCAAAGAGCCTAGATTGGTTAGAGAACGCCTATTTTATCAGGGACACAGAAAACAGACAATCCAAGCCGAGAGGCAAATGTTTCCTTCAAAACATTGAGGCTCCTCTCCCATACAGGAAGGGCCATCTGGCAATGTGCCCGAGAGTGGCTGCCTGAATTAGCTCCTAGACACAGGCAGACAGCACAGCCTGGTACCTACCTACCACAGTACGTAGCCTGTGGTGTGACTGGAGTGCAGTAGAAGTTAAGATGAAGTTGGGGATTGCTTAGGGTCCTAGGGACCATCCAAAAGACTTAGCCTTCATTAGCTGGGGAGTCTATTGAGGGTGTTAGATTTGCTTTTTAGAAAGATCTCTTAGCAGCAAGATGCATGTGTGGGTGGGTGGATGGATGGGTGGATGGATGGATGGATGGACTAAATCAGCTTGGGAGCTACTGCAGAAGTCCAAACCAAACAAAGATGTTTTCATGAATAGCTCGGTGGGCTGATAAAAATGGTGTGTTAGCCAGATATTGATCATCCTTATTCTACTGTTGTTAGTCTTCCTTCTAAAAACGGAAACCCTGATGGCAAGTCTGTGTGTCCTGTTCATCTCTGGATGCCCGTGCTTGCACGGAAGAAATGTGGAAGACATGTGATTTGAACTGGCCTAGTAAGCAAGGCTGCCCCATACTCACACTTCCTGTCCCTAGTAGGAAGCTCCCTAGCACCTATTCTCGAAGCCACTGTTGGTGATGGGTGTGTTTGGGTGGGGAAAATGAAAATTTGAGGGAAGATCAGAGCAAAGGGGAACTTCAATAAGTCTTTCAAGCTGATGGCTTCCCTACCTGGACCCCCAATCCAATCTGGCTAATGGAGGAAGTATTCATTTCTATACCTTCCTGCTGGGTAACATCATGTCAGCCAATATCTTTATGTCCCTTCCCCCTTCGGGCCAGTATTCTTCATTTTAAAGAGATGTTCTACCTAAATGGCCAAGATGTTAACTGCTAAATCTTTCCTTAAATTCACAGAACTCTGTGCATCTGTTGACCTGTATAATGCCTCTGTTTAGTCTTTAGTCCTGTGTATATCTGTCCAAAGAACTATAAAAACTAACCCAGGAAACTCAGGTCCTATCAGAGGAAAAAAAAAAAAAAAAAAAGGAGACACACATCTTAGGTGACAAAGACCCTGCTCAACACGTACTCTTCTTGTCCTGCTCCTCTTTTTTCCTCTTTTTATTTGTTGATTTTTTTTTTTTTTTCCCAGTAAGGGTCTACAGGGTTTCACTACATAGATCAGACTCATAGTCCAGCATAGCAGGCTGGGGATTGAATCCTGTTTTCCTCTTTTTTAAAAAAAAGCTGTTTGGGGCTGGCCAAATAGTTCAGCGGACTAAAGCACCTGCTTAGGCAGATCACAGGGACTGGGGTTTGATCCCCAGCACCATAAACCATGCTGGCCCCACCCCCTGGGGCGCACTGAGATAGCTATTGAGACTGGGTGTGGTGGCCTGCCTGTAATCCCAGTGCTTGAGAGGCTGAAAACAGGAGGATCATTATGAGTCCAGTCTGGGTAATGAGACCCTGTAGAGCCTGTACTAACTACATAAAAAATAAATAAATAAAAAAGTTCTTTGGGGGCTGGAGAGATGGCTCAGTGGTCTAAAGCACCTACTTGAAACAAGCTTGGCAAAGCACAGGGACTGCTGTTCGATCCCCCAGCACCACATGCCAGCCAGCCCCTCCCCCTTGTGGGCTGAGCTGGCCACACACACACACACAATAAATAAATGTAATAAATAAAAATAAATAAATAATTAAAAAAAATTTAAAAAAAAAAGTTCTTTGTATCTCTGAGCCCCAGGAGGTAGAGCTTTAAAGTTGATAGCCCTCTCATCTTCTCAAGATTGCCAGCCTTTGAGCAAACCTGATTCCTTCCTTCCACCTCTCACCTCCCAAAAATTACTCTGTGAGCAACAGCAGCTATAATTCCCATCACAAGGTCTGTGGCCACAGTCTGAGAAACATCCTCCTCTTCCCTGGGGATTGACAATAGGTGCGCCACTGTAGCTTTTCCAACTGAGACTGTGTTTCAGCTACAAATGAGTAGTTACAACAGGACTCATACATGCCCATGAAGTTCTTCAAACCATGCTATCCCTTAATAGCAGAGGAAGCAACTTGTTATTTTTGGGAAAGCCAAGATAGGCTGGCTATAAAAACTCTTCAGACTGAGGTCAGCAGCCTCTATGATGGATTCCAGTAATCTCTGCCTCCTAGTGTTCACATCTTTGTCCCCTTCCTCTTAAGTGTGGGCCTCATGAGCTTGTTTCTCACCAATGAAATACAGTAGAAGAACAGGATTATGTTAATAAAAAGGCTGTGCCATCAGTAATGTGCATTTACTATCTCTCTTCTCCTTTGGGATGGCTTCCCCCAAAGAAGGCCATCTGCTATGCTCTGGGGGCAGCCCTGTAGAAAGAAGTCTCTTTGGTAAAAAGCTGGGACCTGCGACCAGCCCTGGGAGGGAAGTTGGAAGCAGTTCCCTTGCTGAGCCTTTCTATGGACTGAAGTCCTATATGACATCCTGTCTGCAACCTTGTGAGACACCTTGAGTCAGCGGTGCCCAGGCAAGCTGTTGCATGAAGTTGTGAGATATCTGTTGATTTATGCTCCTAAATTTTGAAGTGGTTTGTCACTCCACTATAGATAACTGATACATGAAGTTCTTAGCTGTCTAAGAGAAAGTATAAGTTGAATGCTTGAAGAACTAGCCACAGTCTTGCTCTAAAAAGGCACAAATTATATGGACATAATCAGATGGCCCTGGGTTTAAACTTCAGTTTGGATGTTATGAATCTTAGTTTTCCCATTTGTAACATAGGAAAAAAAGAATTTCTTCGGAGTGTGGTTATGTGTTATGGCATACTACGTGGTAAGGGCTAAATAAGTCTTTTCCGATCTACTTCTGAGCAGTAGACCATTATCTGTAGCATTCTTGGAATTCTTGGTTTAAGGCAGAGTAGCACATGGTCCAGTAGTCCATCAGGGGGCTATTTTAGTTATGGGTCCAAAATCCCCTTTAAAATGTTTTTATTGTACAAATTTTGGAGCATGGGGTCATAATTCAATACACATAAAGTTGTCAACCCTACCTCCTTTTCCTACAGGGAAAGGATTTTTAATGTACTCACCAGGTTTTAACTATCAGAAGTTTGAACTCTTCGATCTTGAAAAGTACTGACTCTGAGCTGAGCATGATGCTGCAGGCATCTATTTCTTTTCTTTTTTTTTTTTTTTTTTGGCAGAACTAGGGATTGAACTCAGGCCCTTGCGCTTGTCAGGGAAGCGCTTGTTCCACTGAGCCATCTCCCAGGCCCCAACTGCAGGCATCTAGACCCAGCTACGTGGGAGACTGAGGCAGGAAAATTGTAAGTTCAAGGGTAGCCTAACCAAGTTAGTAAGACAACCTCAAAGTAAATTTTTATTTAATTTATTTTTTTGGTACTGGGGATCGAACTCAGGACCTTGCACTTAAAACAAATTTTAAAAAAGGGCTGGTATTGGAGTTCAGTGGTACTGTGCTTGCTAGCATGTCTAAGCCTCTGAGTCCAAACACTAGTATTAAAAACAAACAAACAAACAAACAAAAAACCCAACAACAATATCAGCAGTTGAGGGAAGATTCTCATTTCTGACAGATTGCTTGCTCAGACAAGGCACACACCGGGGCTGGAGCAGGGGTGTGTGAGGTCTGAAGGTCTCTGCCTTGTCCCTCTGAAGCTTCCTGGCTGAGCCTCGCCTTCAGTGTGGTGTGGCCTGCTAGGTGCTCAGACCTTGGATCTTCTTTCTCCCTATAGCTCAGGCATTAGACCCTCTATTGTCAGGGAGACCACTCCCGGCCCCCCGCCATTCCCTCTAGAGGTGCCCCACCACCCACCTCTTGCTTCGCACACTGCTCAATGCAGTTTGGCTTCTGCTCCCTCATCTGGTTGTACCTGCCTGCATCTGGTCTTCCAGGTGGGCCACACCAGAGTCTTAGAGGTTGTCACTGCACCAAGCTCCTTCTTCCCGACACAGGTGTCATGCTGCTGGGCACTTCTCCCTTGTACTGACATTCCTCGGGTGGTTTTAAC